CCATCGTCCCTCCTGCTTGTGCTCCTGTTGTCCCGCTGTTCCTGGGAGCGACCACTGTGGGCCTTCCGAGCCTTGCTATCCCGTGCATCTGCTTCCCGGCCTTGCCCTTGTTGTCTCCTTGCACCTGTTGCTCCTGTCCTAATCTGTCCACTGTGCCTGTTTTCTCTCTGCTCCTGACTGCTGGCGCTCCTTTCTCTCACCACTCCTCTGACACTCGCCTCACTCCCACTCCTATGACCCTCATCCCTTTCAGCATCTTCTGTCCTGCACCTAATTCCAGCTCTGGCTGCCTCCTCCTGCCTCCCGCTGTCCTGTTCCCCTCCTGTGCCTTGAGGGACCACTGTCTCCTCTCCCCTCCCTGCCCCTCAGTGCTGCCCCCAGGGGGCGACTCACTGGGACGCCTTGCACAGCTCCTGATTCCGTCTGTCTTCATTTTCCCCGACCTCTCCACGCTTTTTTTTTTGTTTTCCCGCCCACCGCCACCCGGCTGGGGGCACTCTTCGAGGGAGGCCTCTTCCTGGCCTGCAACCTCGCCGGACCGGCGCCATGTCTGACAGGCGGCCCCCGGCCAACGTCCTGCACCTTCCTGCCTCCCGGTCGCCGATGACGAAACTGCCACACTGCCCTCATCTGATCTCCTCTTCCTCTGTGCTGCTGTACCCGGTCCTGGGCTGAGCCACTGGGGCAGCCTCGATCTTCTTTCCAGCCGCCGCTCTGTCACCGCATGGGGGACAGCAGACGTGCTCGGTGCCCACAGCTGCTCCTGCAGCCATGCCATGCCTTTCTCTTCCATGATTGACCGCACTCCCTTCAGGATCTCCTACAAGGATGCCATGCTGCACCTGAAAAAGAAGAAAAGAAGAGCCCTACCAACCTGCACAATTTACAGGTAAGTAAGGCAAAAGTTAAAATAGCCATTCACTAAATCACAACCAGACATGGATACCCATATAACTAGAGAGGATCTCTAGACAATACTGGACTTTATTTCTAAAAAGTTAATAGGGTACTTTGATAGAGTCCTTAGAGATTTAAAGAAAGCGTCCAGAACATGACATGTGGAGGCAAAAATGGATGATTTTGCAGAGGCTAATAATAGTCTACCTGAGAAGGTGCAACAAATGGAAGGGATGTTAGAACACTATTAATAAAAACTAATTGATCTGGAGGGCAGAGTCTGCAGAAGTAACCTACACATCAAGGGAGTCCCAGAAAGCATCCAACAAGCTTCACTACCAGAGTACATGAGAAGCATGTTTATAGTCCTGGCATTGGATATACCACCAGGCATGTTTTTGTTAGGCGGGATGCAGAGAGTGCTTGAACAGAGACACTTGGCTGACAGCATACCCAAAGACATCTTGTTATGTTTGCAATACTACCACGTAAAGAAGAAGAGTGCACGATTGAGCAGATCATCCACCACACTGTCCAAAGAATACAAACATTAAAAGTTTTGCAGATCTTTCCTCTGCTACACTGAGGAAATGGAAAGCTTTTCATCCAGTTACAGAGTGTGATGGAGCTTCTGTACTCCAACTGAGTACCTCTGCAAGGTCTGCTTCCTAGCTCCGATCAGGGACACTGGAACAGCGAAGCTTAAATGCGGTCGCTGAGAACTTATTTCACCATGGACCAGGCTGCAGCTCTCTTCTTCCAGACAGCTATCCCCTCTCTGTCTGCCTTTTGTGTTCCTCTCCCAGTCAGACATCCACACCTCTGCCTGGATTGTAATTAGCTACTTCCTTTGTAAAGGCACCTGTGGCTGTCTGGGCTAGCTCTCCCAGGCAGACATCCACACCTCTGCCTGGATTGTAATTAGCTATAAAGGCACTTGTCCCAGGCTACAAGGTGCAAACAGCCAGCCAACAGGCCTGAATACTCTGTTACTGGGATGCCTGAATAAATCTTGCAGGACACACAGCTCCAAAAGGAACTAACATACTCTGCTTTAATTTTACAATTACATTACACACACCTTAAGAACATAAGAATAAGCTTGGGGCCTACATAAAATGTCCTTCTAAGCTCATGGTGATGGTGACTACGTCAAACAGAGGGTCTACGAAAATTTAAAATCATTTATAAATTAGGGTTTCCCACAAAACTAACGATGCTCAGGAAAGGCACCACTGTGGCCATTGTCTCACCAGAAGGGGGCATGAGGAACCTCGGGAAATGGAACCTGTCCCCTAGCTCACCTACCCCACCTACCCAAAATGGCTTCCCCTCACCTGCACTGTCTCCAGAATGGAAATAAGATGACCACTGCACACCAAACTAGAAGGCATTAAATTGTCACCCAAAATTTCAATTCACATTTTCTGTTACAATATTACTGACTGATAAGCTGGATGTCTTCCTTTCAATTTTTAGTTTTTAGCATTGTTTTTTTGGGTTGCTCTGCATTATAAAATAGTATCCTATTAATGCGCTGCTGATATCTCCACACTATGGCTTCCCCAACAATTTGAAGAATAAGAGGCATTCCCATACACACTAAATCAAGGATATGTTATGTTTCACTACTGGGTCAGCTTGAGAGAGACATCCGAGACCCAGTCACCCAAACCACAGGAGCGATTCAATTATTTGAACTGTCTTGGAAGACACCAGTTTATAAGAGAAAGAGCGAAGTAACCACGTAATCTATGGAAATGATTCTACCATCCCGCTAATGGAACTATGACTTAACCCCTTAGGAATTATATTGGGACTTAATTTGGCTGGAGAGGTTTCATTGAGAGTTGATGTCCTCAATCTGGCAGTGGCTTTCTCCAGATTATGGGGTATATGTCATGTTAAATGTTCTCATGTCCAAAATGTAATTACTGTAAAGTATCATGGTTTTTTTTTGGGGGGGAGGAAACATTCCCACTCGCCTTTAGCTCGCCCTTGTGTGGCGGTAGTGCGAGATGTTTTTACTTGTCCATTGAGTCACCAAGGAGAAGGACTTTCTCAACTAAATTTGACTATCATAGTCTAACTTTTAATACCTAATGCAGTCTATACCCCAGCAGTACTGGTCTTGGTACATTACCCACTCAGGGAAGATGTACACATGGGGTGGGTGACATTAGGTGAATTGTTGGTGTAGGACTCACCAAGAGGTTTTGCCTTGACTTGACAAGTGAGCTTAGATTTAAAAGGCCATTAGAATGATACTAAAACACCTATAGTTATTTAAATGACTTGGGATAGTGGAAAGTAATTTTTCTTTGTTTTTTTATTGTATGTATTGGGGCTGATGTGTACTATAGTCAATGCTCCCACCCCGGAGTAGTGGGAGCTTGAGCACAGGACTTAATCTTTTGATGTTTGCATTTGCTTTTGCATTAAACAACCATGTTACAGTGCTGACACCCACCCCATGTGTTCCCTATTAAAGGTTAATAAGTCTGTCTCTTTAGAGATTTTACCTTTTGACTGATTACAGCAAGGTGAACTGCTATTCTAGGACTCACCTAAGAGGTTTTGCCTTAACATCGCAGGTGAGCTTATACTTAAATGGTCATTAGAGTGATACTAAAAATCCTCAGGAAATAACTTTTTTCTTTGGTTTTTATTGTATGTATTGGGGCTAATGTTGCATACATAAGGTGCATGTCTCATATTGCTAATGCCACATGGCATCCTCAGATGTATTCATCCTCAGATGTACATTTTGAAATCGTTGGCTTCACCCGGGAGAAGCCAGACCTTTATAAACCATTAACACACATCTGGTCATTTCCATGATGTCACCTTTATTACAGAGTTTGCTTTAATTTCCTTTCCCCTTGTGACTTGGCTTAATCTCCATTTACCTCATCTTTGGTTTTCCTGACCCACGCTTGTTCTGATTATTATTAGTCTGCTGTCCACACAGGTTCTTTATCCAAAATAACTATGATTTTGATTTCTGGTTCCCTGACTTTATCTATTTTTCTTATTAAGATTAGTTACAAGCCATTTGCTATTAGGTTTCTGTTTTGTAGGAGGTTCTTATTTTGCTGTTAAGCCCATTACATTAACTGCTAGCTGTAACACCTATTTGGCTGGGAGACTTTCACTAATAGCCTTAACTTCAAGGTAACATTCCACCTCCTCGTTTGGACGGCCTTCTGAACACCATTAATTGTGCTCACAAACAGTTAAAAATATTACCTTGATTTTATTTTATGTTTATTGCTCATAATGCATGGCCAAGGAAGAGGATGGGGGATTACTACAGACAGATACAGTCCTGAGTGTTTTGCTAAAGGATTCTTTATGGCAAATCTTTTATATTTATTAATATGGGATTTCTAGTAAAAATTAAGTTAAATTTTTTTAAAAATTCTTTATTTTTCGTTGTGCATGGTATAACATTAGACTTGCTTAGCCACAATAGCAGTCGCAATCAGAGTAAGTACAAGCATTATGGACATGAGATGGCGTACAGATATACAGCAAAATGTTTTGTTTATAATGATAGGATGAAAAGACAATGGAGAAGCAAAACGGAGTCAGAGGATACAAGCTTTTCGTACTGTCTGTGGTAATGTAGGATAAGGTTCCACATTTAGACTACATGCTAGACTATCCTATTATTTAATAATTATATACATGCAGGCTTAAACTTATTGCATTGCAGGCAAGGTCATCGCTCAGCGCGCTATTGCCCATTATAGCGGTTCTCTCTCCCTCACATTTTGCTAAATGACATGCTTGCGCCGATATGTGGATGGCTACAGTACAGTCGCAGGGTGTGCAGTGAGATGTGATGTGCCATTTTTTGATTTGTTAGTGGAAAAAAAAGCTACCTTGGGGCGTAAGACTTGTGGCAGTGCTATTTTGCCTTGGAACCTAGCCCGCCAGTATTATCGAGTTGGCCAGTGTGGTGTTAGTGCCACCATGCAGAAAAATTAAACCATATAACATAACGTTCGTCACTTGTGTGCCCCTGAATCTGTTGCATCTCAGGCGAGAGTCCCTGGCGGATGTGGCTTGGATGACAGCCAGCTACTATAGTTGGGGAGTCAGCCGATGCCTTGACTGGGTGCTCCGCTTCCATGTGTGTACTGTCCAGCAATAAATGTCCTGTGTATGCTCAGGGACTCTTCGTCCTGCGCCACGTCGTGGCTTAAAAGAGTAGTCCATCGCTTCTGAACCTGTCGCTGGTGAGATGGTTGCGAGGTAGTGGAGCGGTGTGGCATCTTGGGTCTCTGCTGTGCTGCCGCCCTCAGGGGGCTTTGCGAGGCCCCACCGCAGACCGTCCGACGTAGTGACGGGCGTTTTCGTCTGTGTTGGCTGTGAGGGGATGTGCAGCTCTCCTGGAGTGGTGTGCAGCGCTCCATGTGGGAGACCGGCATTCCTGCATATCCAAGTTTTGCTGGCTTTTTGTCTTCAGTGTTCGTTTTGCTGTGGGTACTGGTTTGCTGTGCCCCTGTCTCTCTTGCCATTTTCGGGCCTGCCCTGGGGTTGGTGCCGAGATACAGTAATGTGTCTCAGAAGGCTGATGTCGTGCCAGGGCCCCTTGATGTGATTTAACCTCCAGGTGTTGCAGGTAGCAGGCTAGCTTGTGTCTGTGGGCGCTTTGTGTTGCCAGTGCTGTGTTGTTGCCGGCCCTCTCAGTGCTGTTAGCACACGTGGCATCCGTCATCTTAGCTGAGGGATATAGGCCGCCGATCTTAGTGCCTCGGATGACTTGCCTCAGAGTTGGGACCAGGATAACCCCCGCCGGTCCAGAGGGGGGGGGAGGACAGGGCCAGGTCTTCACCAATTCAGGCCTCTGGCCGGGTGCTGCTGGGCAGGATAGCAGGGCAGCGGCCATCCGCCCCGCTCACCACCGGAGAAGGCCTCCTCAGATGCAGAGAAGAATTCCCCTCCAGGGGACTGAAGCTCGAAGAGACAACCTCGCCCTGGATCCAGTGCCTCCTGAGTCCCCATGCTGTCGGTCTGAAAAGTCGCTAAAAATCATGCTTTGAGGGTTTAGAGAGCGTTAGTTGGCAGGAGCTGCTCGTACTGGTGACTGTCCAGCTCGGCGGTCCGGCCCCGCCCCCTAAGCACATATTTTTTAATAATATAATATATCACATTTATAATAAACTACAATTATAAACATGATTTAATTTTTTTTAAATTGTTTTATAAAAGAGAGAATTGCTCCCAAGAAACTGGGCAGAAGGCAAAGGAAATATAGTTACGTTGTATCAATTCTGTGATGTATTCCGCTAATATCTAATATAAAGCCTAACAGACACTTATATTTTTCATTTGTCTTTTATTCTTTACCTTACTTTATTAGATGTAGCAGACTGATATATTGTTTTTCACTTTTACGGGGTTCTCAACTGAGTAAAAGAACACTAGTAGTCAGAGGCAAAACTAGAAACCACGGGGAACCAGTGAAAAAAATGGCCATAGGGGCCCCCACACATACTTTTCCCCCCAGTTCCCAACCCCTCTATGTGTATCATCCACGCCCCACAGGGAGAGTGTGGCATGGTTGGGGGGGGGGGATGAGTATGACAGAAATGGAAGGGTTCATGTGATAGGGTGAAAGGGAGCCAGTGTGACAGAGTGAGGAGAATGATTGTGACAGTGCTAGAGAAGGTGAGTGTGATAGGGTGAATATAGCAGAGTGATGGGAGGAGTGTATGACATGAGTGAGTAACAGGATTGGGGGAGTTATGATGAGTATAGCAGGGTGAAGGGGGGTGACAGTGTGTGTGTTGGGGTGACAGTTATACAGACACACATGCAGATAAACAGACAAACACACACTGACATACATGCAGATATACACCATACAACACATACAGATATATACATGGACACACATGCAGATACACAGACACTTAATGACAAACATTCAGATACAAACAGTAACACACATACAGATAAATAGGCAGACATTGACATACAAATATGCAGACATACAGATACACAGACACACATGCAGACAAACTGATACGCATGCAGACACACACATATAAACACACACACAGAGACAAACACAGACACACAAAGGCACAAATACATATAGACACACACATGACACATACATACAGATACACACACATATATGCATACATACAGACACATACATACACATACAGACACACATACATATACAGACACATACATACAAACAAACACATACATACAGAGACACACATACAGACACACACACATATACAGACATATATACATACAGGCACACATGCACACACATACAGACAGACATACGCACATACAGAGACACATACATACATACACACATTCACAAACACACACACATGCAAAATGTTTGATACACACACATATATGCATACATACAGATACATACATACACATACAGACACACATACCTATACAGACACATACATACAAACAAACAAACAAACACACACATTCAGAGACACAAACACACAGATACACATACATACACACATACACAGACACATACAGAGACACACATACAGACACACACATATACAGACAGATATACATACAGACACACATGCACACACAGACAGACAGACATACACACAAACAGGGGCACAAATACATACAGACACACACATGACACATACATACAGATACACATACATTTATGCATACATCCAGACACATACATACAGTTACAGACACACATACATATACAGACACATACAAACACACACATTCAGAAACACATACACACAGATACACATACATACATACACACATACAGAGACACATACATACAGAGACACACATACAGACACACACACACATACAGACACACATGCACACACATACAGACAGACATACACACATACAGGCACACATACATAGAGACACACGATACATACATACAGATACACACACATATATGCATACAGACTCATACATACACATACATACACATACAGACACACATACATACAGACACACATACATACATACAGACACACATACATACAAACATACACACACATTCAGAGACTCATACATACTGTATGTATGTGTCTGTATGACCTCATCACAGGGGGCCTGGTCGTGTTTTTAAAGTGCCGCAGTGATGACCGGGACCCCTTGAAATTCATTGCCATCGGGTGTCACTAACAGCATGGGCCACCCAAAGGGCCCCTTCAATGCGGCTGCGGCGGTTATACTACATGTGCCGGGGTCGCATTACATGGCCGGTGCACTCCGGTTGCAGGGGTCTTCAGGGCAACCAGGGCCCTGGAGTGACGCGCCTGGTCGCATCTGCGACACTTGCGACTGCGGTAGTTCCGTCACTGCTAGTAGTTATAAGGGACGAAAGAAACATTAACAATGAATTTGAATATAAACAATCTAATATAAAATTATATTGGATTAAATTAATAACTTCATAAAGTATAACTTGAATAGACCTTGAAAAATTAGCTATTAAATTTAGATTAATTTACTTGTATAGGATAGCTTTTTTTATTTTCTAAAAATAGTATTTCAATTCAATACTTTAATCTTAGGGGACTTTTTTAATTTAATTTTTTTAAAGATCGATTTTTTTTAAAAAAAAGATCATTTTGCAATGTCCCCTCCTCTTCTTGTACAAGGTAAAACGTGCCTTTCTCAATGTCTTGGAATGGAAAATCTGAATACAATCCTCAGAAAGATTTCAAATATATATTTGTGATGATTTTTCTGAAACGATTTTAATGCTATGAAGATATTTTAAAATCTATGCTGTCAATGAGCTCTTGTTTATCCTACAGAATACAGAATCCGAATTGTTTATGGCAAACATAATTAGATGACTCTTCAAAAATCTCAATATTTAAACTGCCCATTTTTTTTTTTGGCAATCGCTTGACTCCCTATTCATCATGCATTATATTAGTAATTTTATTTTTATTTTTTTTAAATACCTTTAGCATTCCAAAGGTACGCATTTTAGATAGACTGACTGTAGCTTCCCATAGATCTCTATTTACCAGCCAGAGACTCCACCATTCTCTCATTCTCTCTGGTCTATGTTGTCTAATCTCATTCTATAAACCCCTATCTAGGAGGCATGTATGAGATAGACAATATGTGTGTGAGAAGATCCACTTGTATAGTAGCTACCATCAGTTTGTACGCAGCACTGCTCGTGGTTGTTCAAACCAGTCTGTGTACATTGATTGAAAGATCCAAAACCACATATTGACTCTCTCTTGGGGAGAATAAGATCACTCCATATTATGTATGTTGGCGTGTCACAAATAGCTTGTCCATAATTGATACGTACAAAATCAATGCAGCTACAGGCAGGGTCACAAAACAATAAAGGAGATTTGTCCAAGAGACAAACCCCTTAATGGTAATAAATAACGATTCCACAAATGTTCCCTATCAGACTGTATTCATTTTATAAAGGTGGAGACAAAGTAACTAAAAGTTGTGGGTAAGAAACCGGAAATCAGCTTAAAAATAACACAGGTATCAATGTCTAAAGAAGGCTTACTTTGTCTTGTGCCAGTTAGAACATGTATATATGCTGTAGTGTATCTTTATTGCTTAACACTTGCTGCTTCATATAAAAAAAAAAAAAACCATAACATGACTTGCTATTTACATCTCTTGGTACTTGTAGTGGCTAACAGCAAAATCTAATAAATAAATCAAACTCTTATATAAGCTGACTGTCCCTAGTATGATAAGAAAGAGGACATATAGGCTAGATCTCATATATAGGGAAATCCCTTTTCAAATCTCAATCATAAGTCTTAAAGGAACACTACAGGGTCAGTAACACAAACATGTATTCCTGACCCTATAGTATTAAATTTACCATCTAGCCCCCTAGCCTCCCCTTACCCCCTAAATATAGTAAACTCTTACGTTTATTCCAATCTGCTGCTGCTGGCTCTGCCCCTTATTGGAATTTTATTTAATTTTTATATTGGCTCCCTGGACATCCAGTATATCCATAGGTGGGGATTGTTCCTCCCAAGCCTGATTATATCAGAGCAGGCCCATGCTATGGGTATTGTATCAACTGTATGTAATTATATACTTTCTTCATTACCTTTAGTATAACTTCAGCGCCGTCCACAAGCACCACTGTTTTTCTCTGTTTGTTTTTCACAAGTTTGTGGGGATTCCTTGTAGGTGGATTGCTGCTCATTTACAGATAGAGAGCGCCACACATACATTTGTTCCTCTCTGCAATGTAAACACTTTTCTCTAGGGTGGTCCGGGGGCTTAAGCCTAAAAATAATTAATAATTTGGTAGCCTCTTCCTAAAGCCCCAACCATGGCCTCTCCCCAATTCTTCCACTTAGCATGCCACTTGGCACACTCACAGTTACCTACACACAGATACACATGTGTTCACTCAGGCACAGACAGATACACAGACAGATACGCAGACAGATACACACAGGCATAGAAAGTCACAGGCATAAACAGACAGTGCATGTATGTAGTGTGTGTAGTGGATGCT